AACCTCCAGGATTCTACAAGCCATCAAAAAAGATCTATTACCGGAAGTGACGTCTATTGATAGCAACCGATAGTTAAGATATCGACGACGTCACTTCCGATGTTTTCCATTACAGTACATGCTGCATGCATGCTACATGCTACAAGTTTTTGTTTGTGGATGTGTCTATATAATGATAATAAAATTACAAGGCATTAAGTTCATCTTTTGTTGAAAAATATTTCACCACTCGAACACAAACTTCATATCTTAGCACCACCGCTTAAAAGCCCTTATTTTTTTCTGACCGATCATTCGTAAAGATTTGAATTAAATAAGCTTTTGCCKTGTCTTCACGTCGATCAATCCAGTWGTTGCTGCAGCTTTTTATGMATTRTRCTTTATTGAATTAATTTTGGCGCAGCGGTAGTAAACTCACCCCTGATTCAATTTCTAGACTAGGTATCACATTTGAGCAGAGYTYGTCTGGTCCCTTCCTAGATTTGAGGGTTTTCCTCCCTCCACACATTGTCAACCTAACGCGCTAAATTCAATTCGATCTGTTAGTTACCGTTTGCTGACTTAGATCGGCCATAAGGTTGTTTCATGATATTTATAAATTAATAGGCTTCAGAAAAAAACCTTTTGTAAAAAAAATACTGGCCATTTCGACATATTAAATCCAGATCTTAGTTGCTGGAAAGCTGAAAAAAATAAAATTTCTCGTCATAAATGGCTAAAATATTTCTCGTTGTTTGTCATTGCAGGTTTTGATGATACTTGTGACATGTCTGCTGTTCTTGGTATTCTCTCGTCCGCCAGCGTATTTCCTCCTGACGTTCAAAAGTTGGCAAGGGACGTAAGAAGTGACGTCAGAAATCCTTGGGGTCACTGTAAATTTCTGGAGTGGGACGACACAAAGTTCACAAGGTGCTTTCAGTTGATGAGAGATCTCCTTCAAGCTTTAAAATTGCCTGAGGACGATGAAAAACGAATAACGGACGAACTGGGAGAGTGGGAAACCATAGGTAAACTATTTTATAATTAACAGAAACAAATTAATACAGAGTTTCTAAAAACTCTCTTTTCCTCCCCTCCCTCTTGTATTTCCTCCTTGCCTCCGGTCATCGTCTTCTCTCCGCCTTCTTCCCATCTCCGTTATTTTCTGCTCCTCTCATCCTTTCTCTTTCCACACCTTTCTCCCTTTCTGCTTCCTTCTTCCGACTCTCCTCTTATTCCATCCTCCCCTCCTCCTTTCTTCTTCTTCTTACTCATCCTTCTCCCCTTGTTCCCCACCCTGATTTGTCCTTCACGATCTTCCTCCTTCCTCTTTCCTTACATGAACAAGTTGAGTTTATTTCGACCTTTTCCCTCGCAAACTATAGTCTTATCGTAGATTATTGCCAGCTGAAGAGCTACTTGTTTAGTTAGTCAGTATATTTTCAGGTATTGGTGCAGATTCTTTGGTAAAGTTTATCGAGTTTGCTCAAGTAGAAATTAAACGGTTGTCTCAAGAAGTAAAGCGTTTGGAAGCAAACGAGAAAGACGAAGCTGAAAAAATAGCCGCTACTTTACGCGATATCCTAGACATTCTCGTCAAGGAAAATAGAGACAAAGACAAGAAGTTAGAAGCTTTGGATACGAGAGTTACAGCTTTGGAACAAAACAGGGAATATAGCGACAAAAAGATAGCAGTTGTGGCACAAAAACAAGAAAAGTGCGAAAACAGGCTTGAAACTGTGGAACAAAAAGTAAGGTTTTTTTGACAGAGTTGGAAAAAGTTATTTTATTTACGTATTGATGAGTCTTTTCCACACGTAAAGGGGCGTAGCAGGTTCTTGGTCATAGTGGCGATGTACCAATTTCCCGTCAATACGCACGTGTAGAAATTTCATCTTTAGAGTTTCCCGTCACATCCGCCCTCCCCCCCTAACCCATCCCCCCAGCGGGGGATGATCGGCTGTCCTTTTAGGGTTGAAAATATTAGTCCTTTATTGAGACTTTAACGTAACCAGTTATGTTACAAGACTGCGTACCTTTTAGGGTCAATTGTTATTTATTTCCTTTATTGATCAAATATAAACTGAAGAACAAAGGAAAGATGTTGTCTAGTCACTGATTTTACGATATCAGCGCAATCACTTTCTATAATATACAGTCGTACCTCTTAGTGGTTAAAATCAACATMTCTGCAACAGCTTTTTCAATTTATGCGTAACTTGTAGGGGTCGTTTTCAAAAGCGGCCGCCGATCACCTCTACCATTTGGACAAAGAGAGTACCCATGGGGGTGGGGGAGGGGTGTCAAAAGATTCATTTAAATGTCTGTCACACTCAAAATCCATAAAAGTACCGGTTACCGATCGTTTGATGGTTAGTTGAATGACTGACTTTGTTTGAATTACTGATTGACCCATCACTAGCACACTTTTCTGATAATGATGTTTTTGTCTCTTCATCGTTTCTACAGGTTAAAGATATTACACCAATTACAGACGAGGTTTGTAAAATTTTAGCATGGTACATTCTTATGATTATTTAGGGAGGACAATGTCCTTCATGGCCGTCCTAGTAAGTCAACTCCTCATTATTGCCATTTTCTAATCATATATCCTATCTTTCCATTTATTTTTGTGTCAATTGTATCCACTAATATTCCAACAATTGGTGAGCCACAGAAAGTCTCTGTCAACTTGTAAAGCTTCTTTTTAACCTTACTTTGTTTAGGATCCAGTAGAGTGTCTTGGGATTGTTATTACTGATAATTTCAATGACCTCCCAGAGGATATTTTCTACTTAATGTCAACGTACCTCGACCATAAAGACATACAATGGATAAAAGAGGCACCATGGAAACCAGAGAAATTTCTTCGTAAATTTCCAAARAAAAGTTGCGATAAACCAAGAAAAGATTGTCTACAACATCTCGTGGACGTTTTATGTGAAAAATTTCCAGTAGCAATGTCTGGTTTATTAGAATTGCTAGGCGTTGGTAAGTTCCTCATTTTTTTAATGTGTTAAGTTAGGGGACCCGTCTATATTAGGTTAACCTCAAGGTCTTCCTTGATGATGTCCGATTTGAATAAAGTATTATTATTATCATCATCATCATCATCATCATCATCATCATTATTATTATTTGAATAAAGTATTATTATTACGATCAAACCAACATCACCATCATTACCATCATCATATCATCGTTATCATCATCAGATCATTATGACCACCATTATGATCACCATCATCATCCTAATATCATCATCATTTAATTACCAACATCATCATCATATCATCATCATCATCATAACATCGTCCTCCTCTTCGATTAAATATCTACCCAAATTCAGACTCGTATGCAACACGAAGAAGTTAGCAATTGACAGAAAGATAGAAAAAAAAACACAAAAATGTTATATTAACCATTACTTCTCCCCAGGTAAAGAGTTAGTGACTACGCCTCTCAAGGATAACAAAGAGCTCAAAGAAAAAACCATAGAAATTGTAAGTAGAAACCCGAATATCTGCTGGGAGACTTTGGCTGGTCATTTACAMGTCGATGAAAAGATATTGAAGAAATGTAGGGAAGATTACTCGGGAGATACACTTGAAGTAACAATCCAGATGCTCAGAGAGTGGATCGAAACATCAGATGAGAGCTSTACATTAGAGATCATATTCGATGCTTTAAGGTTGTGTGGGTATAGRAAAACAGGGGAAGAACTAGCTTCCTATACGACGGGAAAATGCAAAGATAAAATTGCACAGCTAATACAAGCCGAGCAGAGCCGACRAGCCGAATCAAGCCGAACCCACGAGCCGAGCTAAGCCAGATCATATTTGATGCTTTAAGGTTGTGTGGGTATAGAAAAACAGTGAAGAACAAACTACCTATACGACAGGAAAATGCGGGGAGGGGGAGGGGGGGACTGGCGTAGCTATCGCGCAGTGATTGTTGTGAAAAGATAATAAGCAAAATAGATGAGTAGACAGTAATTCCCCTCCATGCGGGATTACACGGAGTAATTTTCTCTGCAACTTGTCTCGCAACAAGCCAAGCTGCAATAGTGTTACACGGTGCAACAGAGACGCAATCGGCTACACGCTGCAATGCCTCATGCAACATGTTTCGCAACGCCGTTTCGAGGGAAGTTGAAGAGAAATTTGCTCCGTGTAATCGCTCCTTTACACTCGCGACTGTTGTTAGTCACTATAGATTATATATATGATTTTGGTTCACGGCCAAATAAAATTAMTCGAAATTTTAAATCAGTAATAGTATGTTCATGCAAGGACGGATCCAAKATTTTCAAAAATGAATGTGCTTAACAGTGTAACTGTTGTAAAATGATGTCAGAGGGTTAGTGGGGTAGGTAATTTAAAAATATAGCTAGAATTATAACAATAAATTAACCTTTCCCGAATTTTCTCGAGTGAATATAAAGCAATGTTTCCAAGTCGAGGTTGGAAATGATAAAATGTAACAAATAAACGAAAACGTGAGTACCAAATTCTGGAAAGGTGTCTTTATCTTTTATTTTTATCTGTTTATTTTATTTTTTATTTTATTTTATTTTATTTTATTTTTTTCAAAACTAAGAAGAAAAATCAAATTTCAGCCATTCGAGGGTTAAGGAGCAGCAGTAAGGGGGACTCGCGAAGCGCCGGCAGAGGCAAAATAGACCCCCGGCCCCCCCTGGGCTTTTTCGGGTTTGACGAGGCCCTACAGGGGGTCTTGCGCGATCCGTCGGCAGC